GAAAAAGCAATTATTGTGCATGTCTGGGGCGCCATAACAACACGTATATATTCTACTGGTGCGTTTTTTACTAGAAAAGGCATACATAAGTAACTTTAAGGACCGTAGCGCTTGTCACGCTGCGCTGACCATGCAACGCTTGCACGAAAAAGCGAGTGTTTCCAACGCTTTGCTAAAAGGAGATGGTGGTGGCACCTACCCGTCGCCTTGTGTTCTACACCTTATCACCTCCGAGACGGGCGCATACACCCGACTCTCCGTCTCGGAACCACGCGCTTTGCTTTTAGGGGCGAAGCTCCTTAAAGCGGCACCCGTTCGTCCCTCGTTGTCGTAGTCGTAGTCGTAGTGCGTAACCAGTGTTACATTTTGGCCAGCAAGGTGGTGCCGGTGGGATATTACTTCTGTGCTTTGTTGAACAATGAAAAAATGGCAGCATATCCACGGAGTGAACCATGGGGAGTGGGGCGAAGCATTCGTCCGTCCATTTGTTCTTGCTTCCGTCCGTTCCTGCGTACATCTGTGTAACCGTCCATGCGTCCATCCACCCGTCCGTGCATGCATCTGTTCGTGCGTCCGTCCCTGCGTTCGTCCATGCATCCGCGCCTGCGTCCGTTCATGCGTCCATCCATGCATCTGTCTGTGTGTCCGTTCGTCCATTTATTCAGCACTCCAAGTACCACCATCTCGCATCTTTTCATCATATATTCTCCATTAAGAAGCACCGCCATCCAGCGGACATTTCAAGGACTAAACGGGAGGTGGCACGTGCACACTTTCTTACGGCTTGCGCTTCGGGTTTACTTCCCACCTTTGACCACCTCGAGTTCATGGTATATACTAGTTCACTGTATTCATGGCTATGCGTCCCAACGCTCGCTAAGCCTTTCTAAAACCAAGGAGGTTAGACAAAGCGAGTATAACGTAGCAACCCTTTTTTGTCAGATCATGCTCAATGTACATGCTAATAGCTGCTAATGGGGATCGCAGCGTGCACGTTACCTAAAGGCCGAATGCTCCTGTCTCTCATTCCCCCTTAGCAGCCGTTAACATGTGCATTGAGCATTATCTTTTATTGTTCAACAACGCACAGAAGACATCTCTCACCGGAACCACCTTGGAGGTCAAAATCGTAAGGACCGCTATTTCGGGTATGTGCCACTGGTGGTCACGTACTACGAGGGATGCACAAGCCACGTCATAAGGAGCTTCGCCCCTGAAAGTTCGCGGCGAGCGCGTTAACTAAAAGCCGAATGCTCCTGTCTCTCATTCCGCATTAGCAGCCATTGGCATGTACACTGAGCACTATTTGACAAGAAAGGGTTGCTATGTTATACTCGCTGGGTGTAACCTCCTTAGTTTTAGAAAGGTTTAGCGAGCGTTGAGCCACAGTGTCATGAAAATTATGAACTAGTATATGGCATGAACTCGAGGTGGTCAAAGGTGGGAAGTAAATACGAAGCGCAAGCCGTAGGAAAGTAAAAGCCGAATTCACCTGTCTCTCATTTGCCATTAGCCGCCATTGGATGTACATTGAGAACTATCTGACAGGAAAAGGTTGCTACGGTATACTCGCTGGGCGTAACCTCCTTGGTTTTAGAAAGGTTTAGCGAGCGTTGGGCAGCAGTGCCATGAATATAGTGAACTAGTATATACCACGAACTCGAGGTGGTTAAAGGTGTGAAGTAGACCCCAAGCGCAAGCCGTAAGAAAGTGCGCGTGTGCCACCTCTTGCTTAGTCCCTGGAATGTCCGCTGGATGGCGGTGCTTCTATATGGGGAATATATGATGAAAATATGCGAGATGGTGATACTTGAAGCGTTGAATAGATGGACGAACAGACACACAGACATATGCATGGATGGATGCATGAACGGACGCAGGGGTGGATGCATGGACGAACGCAGGGGTGGATGCACGAACAGACGCACGCACGGACGGGCGGATGGACGCATGGACGGTCACACAGATGGACGCATGGACGGACGGAAGCAAGAACGAATGAACGGACAAATGCTTCGCCCCTCTCTCCATTATTCACTCCGTGGATATGCTGCCACTTTTAAAAGAAAACTACCAGATGATGCTCATGTCTCACGTGTGACGTGCCTTGATGCGCTCGTTCGCCTCAGCTGCGCGCTCGAGGCACTCTAACGCAGCGCCTCCAGAATACCATTCACCGATTATCTTGCGCAGAACATCGAATAAACATTTTCTTCACTCTCTGCACACGCAAGACTATCCTATTTCGACGACATTTGCAGTGTACCATGCAGATACGGGGCCATTTTTTTGCTGGGCCTTCTGTTCCTACAAACAAATGCTGAGAGAGGAAAAAAAAACGCCAGGCCTGGCGGAAGGCGCTGCACAGTCGCAGCGAAAGCCAAAAGAGCGGCCTTTCAGAGCTTTTTATAAACACTCATTGGGTAACTGCTGTGAGCAACCTTGATTTATACCCACTAGGGCGTTGATAAAAGCAATTTTTGGGTAGTAGGCCGGCATTCACTGTGCTATTTTTAGTCATTCTTCTGAGAAGCGTGGTATCCGCTAAGCTTTTGCAAGGACGTTTCTGCCAATTGTTCATGCAGTGGCTGACGCCGATGAGGAATAATGCCTGAAGTGGGTATGTGCCACAGTAGAGACGCATTTATACAGTAGAGGCTCATTTGAACAATCTGGCAAAATCAGTATCACACTGCAAACCACGTGGCTTCCCACAGTTTTCAACAGTAGGATCACATGTGGTGGTGTTCAATTGTTTTAGGAAGGCATACGCTTTGTAGTGCGTTGCTGTGATTTCACCAAAATGTAACAGGGGGTCTCTCTTATAAAAAACCGGTATAATTTTTTATAGCTGGCTTATCTTTGATAAGTGTGATTTTTCTCACTAAATCCCATTGAATTATGGCAGGCTGCTGTTTGTGCAGCCGAGAGATGGTACCACGTTTAGGTGTCCTCGATTATTCGGAATTTCATAGATAAGACTTCATAGTCATCAAGTTTCTCTGTTTCAAGTCTCAGGGCAGGGGAGCCATATAATAAGAAGTTACAGATTTTCCGACAGTCACGTCCATTATTGTGCTTTTTTTGCTGCTTCGTCGACCTTCATAGTAGCGCACTTATTATCCTACAAGCACACGAACATGAAATAATATGATTTCAACGCATTTTTAGGTAACTCTTGAACAAATTGCACAACAGTCTACATTTTCTTGTTTAATTGTCTTTCTTGCTTTCATAGACAAGCCGCTGTCTTTAGATTGCACCCAGGTGAAAGCTGTCACATTTGACTTATTTAATTTTGTTATATGACGTTTCCCATTGCCATGACTAAAGATAAACATATCAGCGCGTTACTGGTACTGTGAAACGCACTTGTTCTATATAGAATCAACAAGTAACTCGCAATTTCAACCAGACCTTTCGTCAAATCAACGGAGTATTTGAGCGCGTTTGCATCAGTTGTGACATATTTTTTAGGGTAGTGTGCACGGGTTTCAGCGTTCAATAATTTTCTATTCGGACAAAAATATGAAACCTCGAGCAGTGAGCCAAATATGTGCAATTTTTTTCTCAGAAACACTGTTGCTCAGAAACACTATTCCTCTGAAACACATTCGCAGTAAGGACCCTGTGTAAGATTCGTGCACCATAGTTCACACGAACATCATGTGAAAAGGAAAATAAAAACATTAGATGCCCTGTGCGCCAGCGAAGCTTCACTTGTGCAAACCTGACGCATTTGTTACGTCTATGTTAGCAGTTTTCAATGCTTCCTCCTTTTTGCTTCCTTCATGCTGGCCATCAGATTTACACCCGCGCGCTCAGCTGCAGAACACTTCTGCTACTACCAGCAATCAAGGTGGCCCTTCATGATCTTTGAAATGCGAGAATGAAATGGGGCAGTGTGAGACGAGTAAGTAACCTTAAAAAAAAAAAGATCAGGCTTTCGAATCAGAAACTGCTGATCACCGAGAGGTCCATGATAGAAAGAGCATCAGTTACTTAAAAGCAGCGGATACGAGCACTCATATGACCGGCGCACCTCTGAGGGCCTAATTGTGCATCATCTCCCTCATCCCGTTACCATGCGCATGGTTGCAACTGGCTGCCTATAGGTGGGTTAACCTCCCTGACGTTCTTTTCCTCTTATTTTCCTTCCTTCCTTCCTTCCTTCCGCGTTTGAGTAAGCTCGCTGGTACTGGGTATTTCCCGAATGATGCTACAGACACCGAAATTTGTAGTCATAGCATTGTCTAGAGTGTCAGTAAGGGACGGCTTACTGCTCTCCCATAGTTGAGTATCAAGTACTCAAAATCGTTAAACGTTTTTCTAAGCACACTGCATAACCATGCATACATAGTATAGTATAGTATAGTTTAGTACAGTATAGTACTGAAAGGAGTGGAAAGAGATGTGAGTGTTAGTGAGATAGAAAGGAGGAGAGAGAGGGCATGTAGCATAGTCTTTTAGTATAATACCGAAAAGGGTGGGGAAGAAGGTGGGTTTAGGTGTCGGGAAAACAAAAAGTGAGAGAGCAAAGCTATGGCAGAGTGATGTACAGTATAGTAGAGAAACGAGTGGGAAATGAAGTAAAGTGAGGAGCAAATATGTGATGCTGAATAGGAGGAAAAAAGTAGGAAGAAGTAGCGGAGGCGAATGGAGAGGGTGTGCGAGTGCGAAGTTTTAGACGTGCTAGGAAAAGCGAGAAGCAGGACTGTTTACTCCTTCTTCGCACCGATGTTGCGTAGCTGCTCCCAGTTTTAAGATAAAATTCAGTGATACCGAGCACCTAGATTAAGCATTAAGTTATTGCCTTTGGACTTCATTAGACAACACATTTATTTTGGGGCAACCTGGCATCGGTCTTTTCCAATCACAAATGAGAGAGTTTGGTAGTGGGAGAACAGTGGTATACCACTGTTTTCTCATTACTTCAGTTCATTATTTCTGATTGGAAAAAGCGGAGAACCAGTGGAATTCAGTTTTTTCGTTGTGCTTACCCTTCGCACATGAAAAGGCACGTCGTACGTGTGGTGATGCCTGTGCTGGCCCTCACCGCCGCCGTTCGAAGGCACGCTGTCGCAGTCGCTGTTGGCGTCGTCGAACTCTTGGCCCACCGATGCCAACTGGCCCGCGCTTTGTGCCGCTGACAGGCATTGCTGCTGCGACTGCTGCTGGCACTGCGTCAGCCGGGGCGGCGACGGGTAGAAGCTTTTGGCGTTTGTCTCGTCGAACGACGAGTGGAGCTTCTTACTCAGCAACACCATGTCCACCATGTCACGGCTGCCCGTTTTGCTGTTTCGGCTACGATCGTCCTCCCCTGGAAGTTCAGTAAGGGTAAAGAGTTGAGAAAGAGGAAGACCAACTTACTAATAAATGTTCAGAAATTCCACCTCTATTCCTTCCTGCGAAGGTTATTATGCAGGGATGCTGTTACAGCAGTATAATTATGAAGAAGTTGCAGATTAATCTAGCCTTGCTAGTTACCCAGGTAGCTAGCTACCCCCCTCTCTGGTATCCTTCGTTCAGGTTATATTGAAGACATGATCCGTTTTATTGTAAGCGAAGCGCGGGAAGGCTACAAAAATACCTGTCTAGAGCGGCACAGCATTTCAATGCACAGCTTATGAGTAATTACACTTATGGTGCTGTGCTAAGACACCGTATCACCACAGAATGAATGTCCCAATTTGAGTACCCCTCTGCAAGCGCCACTAACACAATGGACTTCAGAGAAGCGCTACCACCCCGAACGATGTTTGACAGTCATCCCCCCCTCCAAATGCCGATGCAACACATTTATCGTTGATTTCGAGGGGCTGTATTGACCTTATTGGAGCTGATGTCGTATACGCCAATGAGTTTTTTTTTTTCTGCGCATGTTTGGCTAATACAAGATCTAGACCTGATCCATAATGTGTGGTTGGCTGCTGTTGGTGTCCAAAGGCGGTATTTTGTTACGTAATAATGTGAATAATCATAATAATAGTACATCTACCCATTTCACTGATGCATCAGTTGAACACAAATTCAGGTTTAGAATATAGGTATAAAATAAGAGAATCTCGCTACAAAAATTGTGTCTTCAGAATGCTGCATACTTTTGCTGCTGAAATCAAATTTTAATGAAAAAATGAATGTAATTATTGAAAAGCTTGTTCATATCATAAATTTGCGCAATGGTTTTACCACCCTCCATCAAATAGCTATAACAGAAAGAGAAAAAAAAAGAGACAGAACGAAGTGATTGATTGATATGTGAGGTTTAACGTCCCAAAACCACCATATGAATATGAGAGACGCCGTAGCGAAGGGCTCCGGAAATTTCCACAACCTGGGGTTCTTCAACGTGCACCCAAATCTGAGCACACGGGCTTACAACATTTCCCCCTCCATCGGAAATGCAGCCGCCGCAGCCGGGATTCGATCCCGCGGCCTGCGGACGGAACGAAGTGAGTCTCCTGAGAATCATGTCACAGTTGCATCTTTCAAGTACAATTCACTGAATATATGAACAAATGTAAGTGCCTTTAGTGTAATTATAAGAACGTAACTTCAACGTTAGTCACACAGCACTGGCCAGAATATTGAAAGCGGAATCTTTTGTCACTGTTCTTTCAATGGCTGTGAAAAAAGTGTTCTGAAAATTTTCAGCTTAGTTTTTTCATGCACGCCAACACTGAAACGATATAAGTTTATAAGATGAGATAACACAACATGCCCCTGTGTTTGTGTCCTCATAAAACTCAGTCGTTTCATTGAAATATTTTATTCCAGTCACAATATCAGCCGCATCTTGTTCAGTAGCAAAAAGACTATACTGTTGCTTTGAAACATTGAAGCCAATCGGTTCTTCACGAGCAGATATTGCCATGCCGCTTAGACGCACATAAATATCCAACACTAATCCCATGTACTATAAGAGGCACTGTTCTATTAAGAAAGTATAGAGTTACAAAGCAAAGTACGTCATTTGCATTGAAAACCAAATAACCAGCCCTGGAAAGTTGTTTTCCCCTCATCACATATGGCAATCTTCTCACTTTATGTCCCGCTTTTCAGTATTACTTGTAGGTTTCGATGGGAAAAAAAGGAACAAAAATTACAAATGTGGCACAGTTTAAGTTTTTTTATTTTTTTAGGGATTGCAGACGTTGAAATTTCTGTGCAGTTGCGCAAGTAGGATTCTGATTTTTTAATAATTCTGATTTTTTAGTTCGCGAACGATATTTCTGGAATAGAGTTTTTTCGCCACAAAATATTCAAAGCATTACGCTTCTTTTCATGCCAAACAATTACTACCCAAATAAAGTACGAAATTTTTCTCGTGCGAAGACATGTCTGCCGCGTGAATTCTCGCAGTCGTATTTTTGGCACCTTTTTTATTCTATTTATTTGCAAATTACCACCACAATAATTTCATACGACGCACTTACAAAATCTGTTTTCTAACAACGCAATCAATTACGCAGAATGTGTCATAAAAAAATATCTTTGTTTTCACTCCAACCGTACAAAGCCGAGTATCACTAAACTGATATATGAGGCTGTTCCCAGGCTCCCCAATTCGTGGAAAGCAATTATAAAGCGTTTCGTACGGGGGCGCAATCTCCATCTCTCTACGAAGCCATCCGTCAAGCTTGTTTGACATGCGCCGGAAAAAAAAAAACTCTCGATTACTTCTCAAAACAGCTCGCTCTGTGCGTTTTATTCCCTAGCAACCATCTTTTCTTGTATTGATTCTTACACGGGCAGCTCACTTTTATTTGTTTCTTCTATGGCTTCATATATGGCAACGTACTCTTCCGTCATCATGTTTCCTGTCTCGATCAATGTGACGGAAAATAGCTGAACATTATAACGCCCTTTCGGCAAAGTCTGGCTTCGAACCCTAAGGGCAACCGATTTCATGCTTTATTATTATGGCCTAAATATAGCGCAAATAAAGACGAGGGCAAGAAAGCGAACACCACAAGTGCGTGTGGTGCTCGCTTTCCTGTCCTCGTCTTTTTTATTTCACTGGATTTACGCCGTAATCAATCAGTACTGACTCGCTTGCCTCTCCATTTTGTGTGCTTTTTTACATTGAAAATGCGAGGAGCGCAGCAAGCGGGAGCCGATCATTTTTGTATGCTATATTCTAATTTTCTATGCAAGAAGCTTTTTTCTCTTGATTGTGACTTACTTAACTCATGATTAAGGTCATTAAACTATATGTGATAAAAATGCGGTTAACAATACTTTCGATCAAGAAGTTATCACTTTTACTTATTTGATATAGCTATCAGACAGCTTGCCCTTCGGAGTGTACGCTCGCAGGCTGTTATCAGGTGAGGAGGCTTAAGCTTGCACGCTATGTCATATTGATGCAATTTTCATCATAGTGAAAGTATGCGGTGCAACCTAGAAGCGAAAATTATATATATATATATATATATATATATATATATATATATATATATATATATATTTAATTTCACTTATTTATTTTCTTATTTAATAAAGTTTTAACACATCAAATATGCAGGCTTTCTTTTTGTAGACCACTCAATACTCATCCCAAATATGCACGAATATTAGAGTTAAAAATATGTTAGAGAATTCTCACCGTGGTTTTGTGTATCTCGGGTGATGTCCACATGCCCGGAGTTCTCGCTGAGTGAACGCTTTTTTTTTAGGCGCAATAAAGAATATGAGCCGCCAACACACCTGCCGTTTCGTAGATGACCCTGGAGCGAGATCGGCAGCAGGTGCGGCTGTACAGTAGGCACACGACCAAAGACACCATGAGAACGATAACCGCGGAGCAGGCAACCGGCACCACTATGCCCAGGTGCCGGTAAAAACGGCGCTCCTCACTGTTCATGGACACCAAGGGTGGAACGGTACCTGAAGAACAAGAAAAAAATAGGGCACGATGCCAGTTCTCATTGTATACCCAGTGAGACCCTGAGAGCCATATCTAGCCTGTGAATGGTGGATGGAGCAACAAACCATGATTGTTGCTCCAACAAAGCCACATTTACAAGAGAGGGTATATGTGGTCAGCGAGGGATATCTATAATTGACAAAAGATTTTTTGGCTGCCGAAAAAAAAAGCTGTCGTACAAGGTACAGCACAAGACATGCTCGTTGACGACTTGGTAGACACACTGAGCTGGAGAGAATGAAACGTGTCATTTTGATTGTCAATTCCACTTATACATGCTGATCTAGCCTAAACGAAGCCTTATTTTAGTTAGTGACTCATTGCGCGATTATAGAACCATGGGCATATGCTTCGAGTGCCCAGAGGGCAACTTAAGTGCAGCTGAAGTACCTGAAATCAACAAATCTGAGCGACCACTGTAAACTGCATGGGCTCCCACAAGTGCGCTTGCAATTCTCTCCATTCCCACTCTCTTCTCTAAATCGGTCTCTCTTTTCGCCCCTTTATACCCCCTTCCACTGCAGAGTAGCAAACCGGACGTGCGTATGTGGTAAAAACTCCCTGCCTTTCCCTTGCTTCTCTTACCCTGAGAGTGCTGCATTGATTGATATGTGTTTTTTAACTCACCAAAACAACCATATGATTATGAGAGACGCCGTAGTGGAGGGCTCCGGAAATTTCGACCACCTGGGATTCTTTAACGTGCACTCAAATCTGAGCACACGGGCCTACAACATTTCTGCCTCCATCGAAATGCAGGCGCCGCAGCCGGGATCCTATCCCGCGACCTGCGGGTTAGCAGCCGAGTATTTTATCCACTATACCACCGCCGCGATGCCTGAGAGCGCAGCAGTCAGTGTAAAAGGTTTACTACATTCAAAAGGTAGCATATGCTTGTAGCTACTTATGTGTTTTTTAATATAACATTCTCACTTTTCTAAAAACAGGTGTAGGAAAACTGCAGCTCCTGAAGTAACTGAAGGTTGAGAAGTTGCAACTCCTCTTACAAACACCAGACAAGTTCTGAAGTTTCGCGCAGGGACTAACTACTGAAATCGGCGTAGCGTGAAAAAATTACGGAAGATAGTCACACATCAAACAGTTCACTGAAGTGATAGAACTGCAATAATTTCGAAAAAAATTACCAATGTTTTCAAAATTTAGGACATAAAGGTCCGAAGAGGTACGCCTCATAGTAGCGACTGCGAAAAAAAGTCAAGAGCTCTCATAAGGACCTTAGTGTTTTAAGAATACAATACGACGAGATATTTCTGCTAAAACAGTCATCAAATCTTTAGAAACAGTAAGGGCATTGAAATGCTGAGTGGGCGAAAGTAAGACTCGTATCGTCTGGAGCGAATTTATTCTACTCCTTTCTTTCTTCCTTTTAAAGTACTTGTTTAGGGTAAATACATCACACGCAGAAAACTCTCCCAATCCAGAAAAAACAATATCTATGTGGATAGGAGGTGCTCTCAAAGTGAAAAACGAGAGCGTCATTATACTGCTGAGTTAGAAAGTTTTGATCATATGCCTTCGATCATCTGCATTTTCTTTCTTTGTGAACTCTGCTTCAGTTATGGATGTGACAGGCGTGCCTACAGGCCTTATGTTTTACTCATCTTTTCCTTCGCTAAGTTTTCAGGGATGCTTCCATATGTGCTTCTCGGGAATCCGGAGTAGGGGAGTCTCAAAATTTTCATCTTTTCGCGGCAGTCGTTGCTTATCTCGGATCCTTATTATAGACAGCTTATTGCAAATTCAGTCTAACCTGTGGGGAACGTGCTTAAACTATCGAATATATTTGCTTTATCTGTATACATTTTCAAAGTATTTTGTGTAACTGGTGCGTACTGCTCGCCAAAAAAATGACAAAATTACAAAAAGGAAGTATGCACTTCAATTTTTCATTTCTGTATGCCTGAATAAGGTGCTATCAGTTTTTTTTTAATTTCATAAATTTTTTTTCGTTGTTCCAAAGCCAACTGGGTCAGGAAAACTAAATGTTTTGTTTATTTGTAGACTAGCCCAGCACATTCAGTAGCTTTGAATGACACAAGTGGACACTTTTTTTTTTTGTTGTCAAAAGGTGGTCATCTAAATTTTAGATATATTTATCGTATGTTTTGTAGCGAATGCTTTTAACGAAAATAGATCATTCCGTGGGCACATTTCGGGTCACCAAAAAAGGTGATTTTTGTATCCTAAAACTAAAAAAAATTATGGTTGGTAAGTAAGGCCAACAAGCAACCACCTGCTCGAGATTCATGGACATCTTGCAAACAATTTATGCTAAAGGTACATCTACGTCTACTACCACTGAACAAGGAGGTTCAACGACGGCAGCTATGTAAATTCTATGTGGACTTGTCCAGACACCATCCTTAAAGCTTGAAGCAAGTTTGTGAGCTTGCTTGAGAAACGATCCTTTTCACTTTCACGTTGTGTTAGGAACGCAACATTTTACAATAATTACGCATATTTTTAAATTTGTTTGCCTCCAGCGTCTTAAACAAAACGAATAGTCCACTATTTTTGTTTGGAAGCTGCATTTTAGGCTGTTGACGCTACCATTTTGTATATTCTACAACTGAATGATTGATCATACGACAGACTCACACGCTTAAAAGCAGCTGGTCTGGTGGATTTGATGTTTCGTGAGCTGTTAATCTGGTTCCACGGCATTCGAAATAAAAAAAAAATTAGGATTCGTTTAACCGAGCAAGGTGGTGTTCCTTCCTATTCCAAAAGGAAATTGTCTATGAACCAGATTATGTTTAGCTATCACTCACGTTTTCAGTGCGCCTACATGACTTTGACCCCAGGTATCTGACGGCGAAGCCAAGGAAATAGGTGCCGTTTTGTTACGTTAACTGATGTCGAGGTGACAATGATGGCAGTCATGGAACAAGAACACACTGGGAGCCTATCAGGGTTGTGCTATCCACTTGACCGGTAGCCCCCAACATGTGATGGCCAACCCATGCAAGCGAGAGCAATTCTAGGCCCGTCCTTATTCACAAAAACGTCTTAAGCTAAATTTTTGATGAGGGAATACTTCAGCCCATCGCAATGCGAGATATGTCATTAGGAAGGCCTGCTGACCCACGGACTAACACGCTTAAAAAGAGAAGCATTTTTCATGTGGCATTTCGTCTATAAAACTGGGAAACATAGTAGCGATATGTTTTCCTACCTCCACTCTCAGTGTAGGTGGCGAATACAAACTCGGCATCCGTGGATCCAGCATCGTTGTGCGCAGTCATTAGCAGATTGTACCACGTTCCCGGCTGGAGCTGAGGCACCATCAGAGTCTCCGTTTGTGGCTGCACGTGGTTAGATATGAGCGTCCACTCTGACTCCCCCTTTGGCTTGTACTGGGCCACGAAAAAACTGATGTGGCAGCCGCCACTGTACCACGCGCCCAGGTGCAGAAGCACGAAAGTCGAGTTGATAACAAGGAAAGACGACTTGTCAGGAGCCACGGGAGCTGCAATTATAAAAACTGAATCATTTCATCATCATCATGAGCCTGGCAGCACCCTTTGCAAGGCAAAATCAATTCATGCGGTTCTGCCAATCAACCCAGTCCAGTGCCTGCTGTAGCCACACTATACCCGCGCACATAATTTTATCTGCCCACTAAACATTACGTCTTCTCATCGTGCATTTTTCTTCTCTTGAAATAGTCTGTTACTTTTAATGAGCAGTGGTTAGGTTACCTACGTGCTACACGCCCCGCCCATGTTCATTTCTTCCTCTTGTATTCGACTAATATCCGCGTAACACCCGTTTTGTTCCCTGGCCCAGTCTTTTCATTTCTTGTCAATTAATATTACACCTATCATTTTTTGTTTCATTGCTTGCTGCGTCATCCGCAATCAAACTTTAAGCCTCTTTCTAAGCCCCCAGGCTTCTATTACGTAGGACAATACCAGTAAGTTGCTTAAAATTGAATTATTATTCGCAAGATAAATTATATACTATTGATGGTAATGGGATAACGTGGGCACAGACATGGGCCACTGGCATGCAGAAAAAGCATGTCTTTTTAAAAATGGATCAACCGGTTGGACTGCACCTATAGGTATGAACTTGAATAAGATGCTATCCTGCGAACATCTAAATCACCTATGTAAATCTTAATTACTCCCACAACTATGTTTTCGATTTTGATAGTAAGGTAGGTGAGTTTTTACGTGTCACGTTATGTGCAAACATACTGTGCGTTCGTGTGTCTCAGTTTTATGTGAATATTAGTCTCATGTGACTAAACTGAGTTTTGTGTGTGTATAGAACATGGATCTCATGAACCATTACTACCTCATACATGAAAGATTTATGTCTAAATGTGTGTCACTGTATGTCTAAACCAGACAGTGTTGCCTTTCTTGTCGTGTTCAGACGTGCTCCTAGTTATTTCATTTGCACCTCACGCTTTTATTACCAACATTTTAGAAAGTACTTGATCTTTGTAAAGTTAAAAAAAGAAAAAAAAATCCTAGCATATCCACCGAGTGAATGATGATGAGTGGGGCAAAGCGTCCGTTCATTCATCTGTCTGTCTCTCTGTCTGTTGTTCGTCCATACGTCCGTCCGTCCATCTGTCTGTCTGTCCATCTGTCTGTCTATCTGTCTGTCTGTCTGTTTGTCTGTCTGTTTGTGCGCCCGTCCGTCCATTCGTCAAGTATACAAAAACCACTATCGCCATCTAGTGACATTATTTGCAAGGACAAATACACACAAAGCCATCTATTGAGCAATTCATAAACTAGAAGTGGCTACATAATACTACTACCACAGAGGAAGAAACGACCCACACCCTAAAGAACTTCGGCCCTCAAAATCAATCTTTCCTCTACAGAATCGTAGTTGGCCCTTGGAAACCATGTATTATATACAGCTTGCATTGCCATGCTTTTAGAACGTGTGGGTGCTGCAACGTCATGAGAGTTCTCAAATACGTAAAATTTTACTAGTTATGATATCATGCCAAGGTCTTTAAAACTCACTTTAGCATCGGGAAGACGCTGTCATTTCCAGTTATTTGCGTTCCTTTTACGTTAATTGTGAGCTGTGATAAAGCTGATCCCTGAATAACGGCGCAACAGAAATTCGCTTAGTTTTTATTATTACCGAAATAAGACGACGGTATTTTCTGTAAGCTTACCCCCTTTTTCATGATTGGTACTGAGCAAAGCCCTTGCCTTAACGGTGTAATTAGAGCAAAGCTAACTAAAATGAATTCTTCGACAGAACACGACGTGGCGTATTCCGTATTATGGCAATTTTTTTTCGTCGGGCACAATTCATGCAAAAAATACCACCCTACTCAAGCCTCAAATAATATGGCAGTGGAGGTTGTCACGTGTACCTGCAGCTGGCTCAAAATGTTGAAATTTTAAAGTAATGTTGTCTTTAAGATGGAACGTAAAAACTTCTTCGTTCTCATGCAGCAGCCCCAGATTGGCGTCATCGTTAGAACCTCACAGGACATGTCTTGAGGCAGTTGCTGTTACTGTAACAGCTCATCGATGACAGGGGGTTTTGTGAATGCTGCGGTGCAAGTGCTTGAAGATCCCTAATATTCACGACTTTGCACTTTCGTACTAACAAGTGAGTAGAAAGATTATTTTCCCGGTACATAGCTCAGAATTTTTTCTGCGTTGTTTAAACTTCCCTTTCAATAAATCTGCAACAACCCGTATGAAACCGTTCCACATCATAGCACAAGACAAATGGCATAATCATGCGTATTAGGAAGTCGTTGACTGTTGCCGGAAGTGAAAGTTCGTTAAAACTCTGTTTTCCGTTCCATCTCAATCTCCCACCAAATGACTAGGTACTTTGCGTGATCGGCTCGTGTTTAAACTGACTGAATCATGCATCATTACTCGCTGTTTCTACGTTGAGTGGCGTGTTTTTACTGAGCATTCCTTGAAATTATGTTTCTGTCGTGAAACAATATTCTCCGGAGGGGGCGATTACAACGCAATCGATTTCCCAGTTGTTGTGCAGAACGCTGTCGCCGGCACTGAATGCGCATTTATGCAGAATGACAGAGATTATTTTGATGCTAGTTGCTCCTAACAACGGCTGGTGATGGCGCTTGGAATGAAAGCTTCCTACAGGTCTGCCCTCTTTGAAACCGAAACCATCTTTTGTGCTCAGATGAAGGCAGTCTGGTTAACGATCTAGCAAAGTGCGTGTGCTCGAAGGATTATTATGACTTCTGAGCTCTTTTTTTTTCTCCTCGAAACTGATGCTCGTGCTAGAGTGGTATACAGCGACGCCGCTACATCCGCTGTGGAAGCAGGTTTTCTTTTCCTTGTTTCGTGTTTTTCTGCACTTCGTCGAAAGCTTTATTGCTTCGTTAGCGCGTTCTCAAAGGCCACCGCTGGGACCTCATAACTGGCAGGCGCCCCGCGTCAGCCGTCGGTGCCCGGACTGGTGGAGCCCGTCTTGATCGGCAGAACAAAGTTGTTGCCTACTTCGTTAGTTCTTCAGCCGGGTCATTATTAATGGACCTGTGTTTTGGTATGGGTCCCTTCCTCTTTTACCCTCGTTCTTTTTCTATCAACCTCCCCTCACTCTTACCTAGATTCACCAGATACCTACAACCTTTTTCTGTACATGCACCGTACCAGTCCTTACGCTAAAGCTACCGCTTTCTTTTTTTTTCCCTTCTTTTCGATTTCGCTACGTCTGAAGCTGCTTAGCGCATCAAAAAAAAAAAAAGCACAGGGCATTTGTTGGTATTTTGGGGGGATCAAGCCGGAGAGCTCGTTAACACACTCAAATAATTAACCTCGGGGAATTATTTGCCACACCAGGGTCATCACTCACAGGGTGGTGCTGTACGGCGAATACGCCCGAGTGCGCGGAAAGAAGACACGCGTGGCGATTAGGGTCGCATTGCGCACTCGCTGCAGCATTCGTTTATTGCTTGTTTTTCTTTTCCCTCAACCTCCACGCCCCTCGTCGTAACGCAGTGGAGAGGATTTTCGTTTCGCTATCAGCTCCAACGTTCTGCTTTTCGCTGGCGTCGTGGCTCGAACGCGCCAGTAGGGTCAGCACGCCCCTACTCGTGGCCGTTCTGCGTAACGTGTCCCCTCCCCCTAATGCTTCGCAGGCGGCGCGTCAGTGATGGCTGGTTTTTTCGTATTGAACCATAAATCGCCTCGAAAGGCCGCTTTGCGGTGTGCTACAGCCGCGGCAGGGGTTCCCTAACCATTGTTCCGCCTACACATCAGCCTGTCCCACCTCCTCGCCGCGGCGTCTATAACGATATTTCATTAGCAGTAAACCTACGAACCGTGATCACTGAAACATGTCTTTAACCATAGCATTAGGGACAATCTAAAGAAGACAACAAATGTTGCGCTCGGGAAGGGTGTCCAGTTTATGGAGCAAAGATTATGTTTGCAGGCACGTTAAGTAATTAAAGATACGAAGAAACAATGGGCCATGCAAAGTTCTCAGCAGACAATTTCACTTAGAATACGAATAGGGAAGGAACATAAGAAGCTTGTGAACACTCATCATACCAAACGATGGAGGCTTTGCGAGCATGTAGCTGGTTCTCACCAGTTAAAGACGGCTGGTTTTTACAAACTAGGGTCAGGCATTATTGCAAAAAAATCATAATGCAACGCTTAATTTGACACATACGCAATGCAAAACGATAAAGAGTACCTGCACTAGTTTTAGAATTTATTTAAACTTCTCTGATGACAACAAGACATTATTGTCGACGATGTCGTAATTTCTTTCGTGGCTGTTGCAGCATGAACTTTCGAGTACGCGAAAGAATAGTTGATCTTGTGACTCCCACGTGAGCGCGCTTAAAGTGCGGGCGCAGAAGCCTGCACGTCACCTTCGGTTTCTTCTGCAGAGGCCCTCCACATTCCGTCAAAAGGTTCCCGCTCTCCATGATACGAACTGCGAGACAGCGTTGGTTTGTGACGAAGGCTCAAGTATGTATAGTGATGCTGAAAGCTCTGCAGCTGGATTAAAATATCTGGAATAACTATAAATAGCCGTGCGCTACACGAACCAAACAAGCGTCTCTCGTACCTTCAGCCATGGCTTCCGTGACCAACTCCTTGCTTGCCGTTGCCGGAGCTGATTGAGCAAGCCATGCAAGCTTCAGCAGCGCGGATGTTGCAGATAACGTGGCATACCAAGAACGATGTCACAGCGGTAACTTAATACCCTAAGAAGGCCTGCAGCCACAGCCTCTGTTAAAAAGCACTTCTCAATAAAATCAAGAAAAAAAACCATATATATATATATATATATATATATATATATATATATATATATATATATATATATATATCATGCCACTATTGATGAACGGGCCGCTGTGGCTCATACCCGTTTTGGGCTACGAAGAAAAAGAGAACGTTTTCGTTGCTCTGGTTCGGGTGAACTCCTTGCTGCAGGTCTTGTTTTCGCTCGCGACATTACTGGTGGAGACGCTGGGTA